TTTTTGGTTTTGAACCTTTAATGAGAAAAAAATATATACTATGGAGCTCAAGAGCACTGTGTATTTGGTGTGTTATTGGGTCAAGGGTTGGGGATACACAACAAAAATACACACGGTCATAACAAGAAAAACTGGCGCCTGGCACGATCAACTCTCAGATTCGTCTTCACTCAGCAGCATGTTGGGGATCCCACGGCTGATGGGGAACATACGTCCAGACTCCGGCACTGCAGGGTGCCCTCCACCACTTCCACCTCCAGCAGGAGGTGGTGCATGGTCCTCAGAAACTCTTCATTCTCCTCATACCCCTCAACCGGCCCTTTAGGCACCTGGACCAGGTGCAAGTTATCGACCGCCTCCAGGAACGACGCCCACTCCACCTTGGGTATCATATGCGCCACGAATTGGGGGTTGAACTCCACGGGGCAGATGCGGACCTCCGTGGCCTGGAGGCGCAGGGGGAAGCCACGAGGCCCCACCCCCCGCACATGCGAGCTCAGTAGATTGTGGGTGAGCAGTTTCATGTCTCCTCACGAGCTTTCTCTGGTTGTTCCTTTTTATCTTGTAAATCTGTTTTATTTCTTTGTAGATTCTGGATATAAGCCCATTGTCAGTTGGGTGGTTTGCAAAAATTCTTTTCCATTCTGTTGGTTGCTGGTTCACTGTAATGATAGTTTCTTTTGCTGTGCAGAAGCTCTGAAGTTTAATTAGATCCCATTTGTCTATTTTGGCTTTTGTTGCCATTGCTTTTGGTGCTTTGGTCATGAAGTCCTTGCCTATGTCTATATCCTCAATGGTATTGCCTATGTTTTCTTCTAGGGTTTTTATAGTGTGAGGTCTTATGTTTAAATCTTTAATCCATCTGGAGTTAATTTTTGTATAAGGTATAAGGAAAGTATCCAGCTTCAACTTTCTGCACATGGTGAGCCAGTTTTCCCAACATCATTTATTAAACAGGGAATTCTTTCCCCATTGCTTTTTTTGGTCAGGTTTGTCAAAGATCAGATGGTTATAGGTATGTGGAGTTACTTTCAAGGCCTCTATTCAGTTCCATTGGTGTATATCTCTGTTTTGGTACCAGTACCATGCTGTTTTGATTACTGTGGCCTTATAGTATAGTTTGAAGTTAGGAAGCGTGATGCCTCCAGCTCTGTTCTTTTTGCTTAGGATTGTCTTGGCAATGTGAGTTCTTTTTTGGTTCCATATGACATTTAAGGTGTTTTTTTCCAGTTCTGTGAAGAAGGTCAGTGGTTGCTAGATGGGGATAGCATTGAATCCATAAATTACTTTGGGCATTATGGCCATTTTCATGATATTGATTCTCCCTAACCTTGAGCATGGAATGTTTTCCCATCTGTGTGTGTCCTCTCTTATCCTTGAGCTGTGGTTTATAGTTCTCCTTGAATAGGTCCTTCATGTCCTTTGTCAGTTGTATTCCTAGGTATTTTATTCTCTTTTTAGCAATGTGAATGGTAATTGGTTCGTGATTTGGCTATCTGTTTGTCTGTTATTGGTGTATAAGAATGCTTGTGATTTTTGCACTTTGATTTTGTATCCTGACACCTTGCTGAAGTTGCTTATCATCTTAAGGAGATTTTGGACTGAGACAATGAGGTCTTCTAAATATGTAGTCATGTCATTTGCAAATAGAGACAATTTGATTTCCTCCTCTCCTAATTGAATACCATTTATTTCCTTTTCTTTCCTGATTGTTCTGGCTAGAACTTCCAGTACTATGTTGAATGGAAATGGTAAGAGAGGGCACCCTTGTCTAGTGCCACTTTTCAAAGGGAATGCTTCCAGCTTTTGCCCATTCAGCATGATATTGGCTGTGGGTTTGTCATAGATAGCTTTTATTATTTTGAGACACTTCCATTTACATTTAGTTTATTGAGAATTTTTAGATAACGGGCTGTTGAATGTTGTCAAAGGTCTTCTCTGCATCTATTGAGATAGCCGTGTGGTTTTTGTCTTTGGTTCTGTTTATATGATGGATTACATTTATAGATTAGCATGTGTTGAACCAGCCTTGAATCCCCGGGATGAAGCCTACTCAATCATGATGGACAGTCTTTTTGATGGGCTGTTGCTTTCAGTTTGCCAGTATTTTATTGAAGATTTTTGCATCATTTTTCATCATGAATATTGGCCTGAAATTTTCTTTTTTTAGTTGTATCTCTGCCAGTTTTTGGTACTAGGATGATGTTGGTCTCATAAAATGAGTTCGGGAGTATTCCCTCTTTTTGTATTGTTGGGAATAGTTTCAGAAGGAATGGTATCAGCTCCTCTTTTTACATCTGGTAGAATTTGGCTGTGAACCTGTCTAGACTTGGAATGTTTTTGGTTGGTAGGCTATTAATTGCTGCCTCAACTTCAGACCTTGTTATTTGTCTATTCAGGGATTCCACTTCTTCCTGGTTTAGTCTTGGAGGGTGTAAGTGTCCAGAAATTTATCCATTTCTTTTAAATTTATTGGTTTATGTGCATAGAGTTGTTTGTAGTAATCTCTGATGGTAGTTTGTATTTCTGTGGAATCAGTGGTGATATCCCCTTTATCAGTTTTCAGTGCATCTATTCGATTCTTCTCTCTTTTCATTTTATTAGTCTTGCTAGCAGTCTATTTTGTTGATCTTTTCAAAAAATCAGTTCCTTGATTTATTGATTTGTTTCGAAGAGTTTTTTTTTTGTGTCTCTAGCTCCTTCAGTTCTGCTCTGATCTTAGTTATTTCTTGTCTTCTGCTAGCTTTTGAATTTGTTTGATCTCGGTCCTCTAGTTCTTTTAATTTTGACAATAAGGTATCAATTTTAGATTTTTCCTTGCTTCTCATGTGGGCATTTAGTGCTATAAATTTTCCTCTAGACACTGCTTACATGTGTCCCAGATATTCTGGTACATTGTGTCTTTTTTCTCATTGGTTTTGAAGAACACCTTCATTTCTGCCTTCATTTCATTATTTAACCAGTAGTCATTCAGGAGCAGGTTGTTCAGTTTCCATGCAATTGTACAGTCTTGCGTGAGTTTCTTAGTGCTATGTTTTTCTAATTTGATTGCACTGTGGTCTGAGAGATTGGTTGTTATGATTTCCATTTTGCATTTACTGAGGAGTGATTTACTTCCAATTATGTGGTCAATTTTAGAGCAAGTGAAATGTGGTGCTGAGAAGAATGTATAATCTGTGGATTTCAGGTGGAGAGTTTTGTAGATGTCTATTAGGTCCACTTGATCCGGATTTGAGTTCAAGTCCTGAATATCCTTGTTAATTTTCTGTCTCATTGATCTGTCTAATATTGGCAGTGAAGTATTAAAGTCTCCCACTATTGTTGTGTGGGAGTCTAAGTCTCTTCGTAGGTTGTTAAGAACCTGGGTGCTCCTGTTTTGGGTGCATATATGTTTAGGATAGTTAGCTCTTCTTGTTGCATTGATACTTTTACTATGTAATGCCCTTCTTTGTCTCTTTTTATGTTTGTTGGCTTAAAGTCCGTTTTATTAGAGACTGGGATTGCAACTCCTGCTTTTTTTTTCTCTCTCTCCATTTCCTTGGTAGGTTTTTCTCCATCTCCCTATGTTGAGTCTGTGTGTCTTTGCATGTGAGATGGGTCTCCGGAATACAGCACACTGATGGGTCTTGACTTTTAATCCAGTTTCCCAGTTTATGTCTTTCAATTGGGGCATTTAGGCCATTTACATTTAAGGTTTATATTGTTACATGTGAATTTGATCCTGCCATTTTGATACTAGCTGGTTGTTTTGCCCGTTAGTTGACTCAATTTCTTCTTTGTGTTGATGGTCTTTATCATTTGTTACATTTTTGCAGTGGCTCCTACTGGTTGTTTCCATGTTTAGTGCTTCCTTCAGGTGCTTTTGTAGGTCAGGTCTGGTGGTGACAAAATTTCACAGCAATTGCTTGTTCATAAAGGATTTTATTTCTCCTTCACTTATGAAGCTTAGTATGGCTGGATATGAAATTCTGGACTTGAAGTTCTTTTTCTAAGGATGTTGAATATTGACTTCCCACTCTCTTCTGGTTTGTAGGGTTTCTGCTGAGAGATCCGCTGTGAGTCTGAAGGGCTTTCCTTTGTGGATAACCTGACTTTTCTCTCAGGCTGCTCTTAGCATTTTTTTCCTTCATTTCAACCTTGGTGAATCCGATGATTATGTGTCTTGAGGTTGCTCTTTTTGAGGAATATGTTTGTGGTGTTCTCTATATTTTCTGGATTTGAATGTTGGCCTGCCTTCCTAGGTTGGGTAAGTTCTGAATGCTATCCTGAATAATGTTTTCCAGCTTGGATTTATTTTCCCTGTCACTTTCAGGCACACTGATGAAATGTAGATTAGGTCTTTTCACATAATCCCATATTTCCTGGAGGCTTTGTTCATTTCCTTTAAGTCTTTTTTCTCTGATCTTGCCTTCTCGTTTTATTTTATTGAGCTTATCTTCAATCTCTGATATCTTTTCTTCTGCTTGATTGACTCGGCTGTTGAAACTTTTGTGTGGTTTGCAAAGTTCTTGTGCTGTGTTTTTCAGATCCATCAAGTCATTTAAGTTCTCTGAGTTGGTTATTCTAGTTAGCATTTCATCTAACCTTTTTTCAAGGTTCTTAGTTTTTTTTCACTGGGTTAGAACATGTTCCTTTAGCTCAGAGAAGTTTGTGATTATTCACCTCCTGAGGCCTCCTTCTGTTATTTCATCAAACTTATTCTCCATCCAGTTTTCTTCCCTTGCTGGTGAGGAGTTGTGATCCCTTGGAGGAGGAGAGGCATTCTGGTTTTTGGTGTTTTTATTCTTTTTGTGCTGCTTTCTTCCTATCTTCATGTATTTATCTACCTTTGGTCTTTGAAGTTGATAACTTTCGAATGAGGTCTCTGAGTTGACGCTCTTTTTGTTGATGTTGAGACTATTTTTTTCTGTTTTTTAGTTTTCCTTCTAATAGGCCCCTCTGCTGCAGGTCTGCTGGAGGTTCACTCCAGACCCTGCTTGCCTGGGAATTACCTGCAGGGAGTGCAGAACAGCAAGGATTGCTGTCTTTTCCTTCCTCTGGTAGCTTCATACCAGAAGGATACTCACCAGATGACAGCCAGAGCTCTCCTGTGTCTGGTGACTCTTTGGATATACAGGGGTCAGGGAGCCGCTTGAGAAGGCAATCTGTCCCTTGTCAGAGCTCAGATGCTGTGCTGGAAGCTTTGTTACTCCCTCCAGAAATGCTGGGCAGGAACGTTTAAGTCTGCTGCACGAAACTCCCAACCAGGTGCTCTGTCCCGGGAAGGTGTGGCTGTATGTATAAGTTTCTGACAGGCTGCTTCCTTTTTTTCAAACATGTTCTACCCAGCAAAAAGGGAGTCAAGTCACAGTCTGCCTGCAGAGGCATTTTTGAGCTGCCACCAGCTCTGGGCTCCCCCAAGCTGCTGTGTAAATTTCTTTTTGCTTTTGTTTACATAGGTAAGGTTAGAGCTGCCTTGGTAATGGTGAATGTCCCTCCTGCCGCGGAGCTAGACTGTCTGGGGTGGAGCTCAAACCACTGCTATTCTGGCTGTGAGAATCCCAAGCCAGTAGGATTCAGTTTGCTTGTTTCTGTAGGGGTGGGACCCGCCGAGCCAGATGACCTGGCTCGCCGCCTTCAACCCACTTTCTCTCAGGTGTATGGGTGACTGTGTCTCGCAGGTGTTCCAGGAGCCAGTCAAAACAGCTACTGAGATTTTTGCCCTGAACTCAAGGCGGCAGCTGAATCAGCAGCTCAGATTTGCCCTGAAAAGTTGCGGTGCATGTTGGCATGCGGGGGATCTCCTGGTCTGTGGGCTGCAAAGATCACAAGGGAAGCGCAGCATCGGAACCCGAGCTCTGGAGTGACCGGATGTCCCCAGCGGCCTCCATTGGGTAGAAGGGAATCCCCTCCAGCTCGTTGCAGCTCCCAGGTGAGGCTACCTCCCACCCTGCCTTGGTTTGCCCTCCATGGGCTACACCCACTGTCCAACCAGTTCTATTAAGATGAACCTGGTACTTTGATTGAAAATGTGGAGATTACTTGCCTTCTGAGTAGCTCTTGCTGGGAACTGTACTCCTGAACTGTTCCTATTTGGCTGTCTTGGTGGAAATTCCCGTTTTATGTTTTTTTAATAGATTCTGTATATGAGACCCTTGACAGAAGCATAGTTTGCAAGTGTGTGTTTGTGTGTGTGTGTGTGTGTGTGTGTGTTTGTGTGTGTGTGTGTGTGTGTTTAATTCTGTAGGTTGTTCACTCTCTTAATAGTTTCTTTTTCTATGAAGAAAGTTTTTAGTTTAATTAGGTCCCATTTATCAATTTTTGCTTTTGTTGGTAGTTGCTTTTGTACCTTCATCGTGAGGTCTTTGCCAGTTTGTAGGTTTAGAATGGTATTTCCTAGATTATCTGTCAGTGTTTTTATTTATTTATTTATTTTTACAACCTTAAGTTTTGTATTTAAGCCTTTAAGCTCTGTACATGGTGTAAGGATGGAATCTGGTTTCAGTCTTCTACATAGTACTATCTAGTTATTTCGGCACCATTTATTAAAAAGAGATTTCCTCCCAAATTCCTTTTATCGCCTTTTTTAAAGGTCAGATGGTTGTAGGTATGTGACATTATTTCTAGGCCTGTATTGTGTTGCACTGGTACAATGTCGCGTTGGTTACCGTAGCCCTGTAGTATAGTTTGAGGTTGGTAATGTAATGCTTTCAGTTTTATGCTTTTTGCTTAGGATTGCATTAGCTATTTGTTTGTTGTTGTTGTCATTTCATAATGAAATATAAAATAGTTTTGGTTGTTGTTAAAAATGGTATCAGTGGTTTAATAGAAATAGCATTAAAGCTACAAATTTTGTTGGGTAGTATGACTATCTTACTAATATTGGTCTTTTCTATTTATGAGCATAAAACGGTTTTCCATTTGTTTGTTTCATCTTTGACTTCTTTATTCAGTGTTTTATAACCATGGAATATTATGCAGCCATCAAAAACGATGAGTTTGTGTCCTTTGTAGGGACATGGATGAACCTGGAAACCATCATTCTCAGCAAACTGACAGAAGAGCAGAAGATCAAACACCGCATGTTCTCACTCATAGGCGGGTGTTGAACAATGAGAACACATGGACACAGGGAGGGGAGCACTACACACTGGGGTCAGTTGGGGGGAAATAGGGAAGGGGTGGTGGGGCATGGGGAGTTGGGGAGAGATAGCAAGGGGAGAGATACCAGATGTAGGTGATGGGGAGGAAGGCAGCAAATCACACTGCCACGTGTGTACCTATGCAACAATCTTACATGTTCTTCACATGTACCCCAAAACCTAAAATGCAATAAAATAAATGGAAAAAAAAATTCTTTTCTAAGAAATTTTTCGCCACCCTGGTTAACTGTATACCTAGATATTGTGAATGGAATTTTTTTTTTTTTTTTTTTTTTTTTTTTTTTTTTTTTTTTTTTTTGTTGTTGCTGATGTACAGGAATGCTACTGATATTAGTATATCTATTTGTATTTTGAAACTCTGCTAAAGTTGCTTGTCAGTTTAAAGAGCTTTTGCACTGAGACTGTAGGATTTTCTAAATAGGAAATTATGTTATCTGCAAACAGGGATGGTTTGACTTCTTCTCTTTCTGTTTGAAAGTTTATATTTTTTATCTTGCCTGATTGCTCTTTCTGGAAATTCAAATTCTATGTTAGGTAAGAGTGGTGAGAGAAGGCAGTTTTGTCGTTCTCCAGTTTTCAAGGAGAAATACTTCCTGCTTGTTTTCATTCAGTATTTTGGCTTTTGGTTTGTCATAGATAACTCATTATTTTGAAGTATGTGCCTTCAATGCATAGTTTGTTGAGAGCTTTTAATAAAAAAAGATGTTAAATTTTATTGAAAGTTATTTCTACATGTATTGAAATAATTTTGTGTTTTTTATGTTTAGTTCTGTTTGTGATTTATAGCATTTATTAATTTTTGTATGTTGAACCAGTCTTGCATCCCACAGACAAAAGATAGTTGAACATAGTGGATTCATTATTTGATGTACAGCTAGATTTGATTTGCTGGTATTTTGTTGAGGATTTTTTTTTTTATCAATGTTTATCAAAGATATTGGCTTCAAGTTTTCTATTTTTGTTTTATTTCTGCCAGGTTTTGGTATAAGAACGATGTTCTTATACAATGACTTGGTGAGGTGTCACTCTTTCTCAATTTATTTGAAATAGTTTTAGTAGAAATGGTAGTAGGTCTTCTTTGTACATCTGGTAGAATTCAGCTGTGAATCTGTCTGGTACTGAGCTTTTTTTGGTGGTAGGCTATTTATTACAAATTCAGTATTGGAGCTTGTTATTAGTCTATTCAGGGACTCAATTTCTCTTTTGTTCACTCTTGGGAGGATGTGTTTGTCTAGAAGTGTATCCATTGTTTTCTAGATTTTCTAGTTTGTGTGCATAGAGCTGTTCATTCTAGACTTCAGTAGTTATTTATATTTTTGTGGGGTCAGTAACAATGTCCCTTTTGTCATCTCAAGTTTGAAGCTTTTCTTTTTCTTTTTTTTTTATTAATCTATCTAGTAAAGTATTTAGTAGCTTATAATATTTTTTAAAGATTTAACTCTTAGATTATTTAATCTTTTGTATAGTTTTTAATGTCTAAATCTCCTTTATTTCAGATCTGATTTTGGTTATTTCTTGTCTTCTGCTAGCTAAGGAGTTGATTTGCTCTTGCTTCTCCCATTCTTTTATTGCTGATATTAAGTTTAAATTTAGCTCTTTATACCTTTTTGATGTAAACATTAAATGATATAAATTTTCATGTTAATATTGTCTTAGCTGTGTTGCAGAGATTATGTTGTATCTTTGTTCTCATTTGTTTTAAAGAATTTCTTAGTTTCTGCCTTAATTTCATTATTTACCTCAAAGTCATTTAAATGGAGGTTAATTTCCATGTAGCTATATAGTATCAAGTATTTTTTTAAATTGAACTGTATTTTTATTAAACTGTCGTCTGTGTGTGTGATTGGTATGATTTTGGGATTTTTGAATTTGCTGAGGATTGTTTTATTTCTGATTGTGTGGCCAATGTTTTGTTTTTTTATTTTCTTTTTGAGACCGAGTCTCACTGTGTCACCCAGTCTGGAGTACAGTGATGCAATCTCAGCTCACTGAAACTATGCCTCCTAAAATCAAGCAATTCTTTTGCCTCATCCTCCAGGGTAGCTGAGAATACAGGTTCCTATGACCACACCCAGCTCATTTTTGTATTTTTAGTAAAGATCGGGTTTTACCATGTTGGCCAGGCTGGTCTTTTACTTCTGACCTCGTATGATCCGCCTGCCTCACCTCCCAAAGTGCTGGGATTACAGGTGTGAGCCACTGCGCTCATCTGTGTTGTCAATAAATTGAGTATGTGCCGTATAATAATAAAAAGAGTGTATATTATCTTGTTTTTAGATGGAGAGTTTTGTAGATGTATATTTGGACTGTTTGGTTAAGTGTTGAGTTTAGGTCCTAATATCTCTGTTAATTTTCTGTCTTAAAAATCTGTCTAATCGTCTGTGGGTTGTTGTAGTCTACCACAGTTATTGTGTAAGAATCTAAGTCTCTTTATCCGACTCAAGAACTTGATTTATTCATACGCAACCATGAACTTTTTATAACGCTTTTTCTCTTCTGCTTTTTTCCCCCATAAACATTCTTCCAAGTGCACAGTATGCCAAGGGCTACTTCTTAGATGCCTGAATCCAGTGTCTACTAAAATTCAGATGTCTAAGGGTTCAAAACCATGTCCAGAGACCTGGCTTTAGGAGAAAACAAATGAGAAATAAGTGGCTTTATTCTTCTATCTGAAAATCGGGATATTTTGCTTATCTCCCTTAAAGCATTTAGATTAGGTTTTTTCTGTGCTTTTCAGAAAATATGTTTAAATAATTGTAACAGCTAAATAAACCTTTTCTCATTCTTATTGACTCAGGATTGTATTCATTTAGAACCTCAGATTTATTGCTTTTCATTTCTCCTTTGGCAAATATTTATATTTTCTATATTTAGTCTTTTAAAGTAGACACAGATTTGTTTAGATTAAAGCTCATTGTAAGAGAACACAAAAGTTGAACACAAGGATGAGATTAAATTTAGCTTTACAAAATGAAAAAGTCTAAAAGATACTGATTACGTTTGTTAGATAGGAAAGTTATTATCCAAGGTAATTAATGAATACTTGCTGGAATAAGTACTTACACTGCAAAAGCAAAAGCAGTTCAGTATATAAACTGAACAGTGGAGTCTGTAGTTGTACTTTGACTTCTGTTTATATCTATGGATCATTTAGCATAGTTATGTGTAGTGTTTGTAGATAACATGCACTTACATAAATTAAACAATATTATTTATAGGTCCATAATATTAACTTTGAATGCATTTTTTTCTTTCTTTTTTTTTGAGATGGAGTTTGGCTCTTGTTGCCCAGGCCTGAGTGCACTCATGTGAGTGATCTCAGCTCTCTGCAACCTCTACCTCCAGGGTTCAAGTGATTCTCCTGCTTCAGCTTCTTCAGGAGCTGGGATTACAGGCACCTACCACCATGTCAGGCTTCTTTTTTCTTTCTTTCTTTCTTTTTTTTACATTTTTAGTAAAAACAGGGTTTCACCATGTTGGCCAGGCTGGTTGGAAACACCTGACCCCAGGGATCCACATGCCTCGGCCTCTCAAAGTGCTGATATTACCGGCATAAGCCTCCACTCCTGGCCTAAATACATTTCTTAAATAGTTATATTAATATTGTCATTAATACTTTTTAAATTTAAACTGCTTTTATTGAATTATGGTTAAAGACAATTTTTAAAAAATCCTACATACATTATGACTACTACATTAAAATTATTTATACTTAGATATTTATATCTAGTATCCAAAATAAATTTACTACCAAATTGTTACAGGAGATATTAGTCTGACACGCTCTTTAATTTATCTAGTAGTGATAACTATAGGTAAGCATAAGTTTAGTGTGTTTTATTTTACTAAATTTGAATGCTGCTATTACAGAACAAATAAACTGTTACAGGGCAAATAAACACAAGTGATGTGGCCATCCAAACACTATAATAGCTCTTCAGTTATCTATGTTCCGAGCTTAAATATATTCCACTATATGAACAAAGTCAGAGTCCAATTTCCATCAAACAGTGCTGGTGGAAATTGTGAGATATATATCAATAGAGATCCCCCATTCAATGGCAGGAGATGACAGAGCAGCAGAGATAAAAGAGAAACTTATAAAATTCTGCCGAGAGTATGACCCTTTTCTTCATAGTGCTTATGTTTCTCATGCTGAGAGTAGCTGTACACTTTGAGTGTTTAGAGATAAATTTCTTTTTAATTATTTAATTTAAAATTTTTATTTTATTGCGTTTTAGGTTTTGGGGTACATGTGAAGAACATGCAAGATTGTTGCATAGGTACACACATGGCAGTGTGATTTGCTGCCTTCCTCCCCATCACTTATATCTGACATTTCTCCCCATGCTCTCTCTCCCCAACTCCCCCCGCTCTGCGGTCCCTCCCCTATTCCCCGCCTCCCCCCAGACCTCAGTGTGTGATGCTTCCCTCCCTGTGTCCATGTGTTCTCATTCAACACCCGGCTATGAGTGAAAACATGCGGTGTTTGATTTCCTGTTCTTGTGTCAGTTTGCCGAGAATGATGGTTTCCAGATTCATCCACATCCCTACTAAGGACATGAACTCATCGTTTTTGATGGCTGCATAGTATTCTATGGTATATATGTGCCACATTTTCCCTGTCCAGTCTATCATTGATGGGCACTTGGGTTGGTTTCAAGTCTTTGCTATTGTAAACAGTGCTGCAATGAACATTTGTGTGCATGTGTCCTTACAGTAGAATAATTTATAATCCTTTGAATATACACCCAGTAATGGGATTGCTGAATCAAATGGAATTTCTATTTCTGGGTCCTTGAGGAATTACGACACTGTCTTCCACAATGGTTGAACTAATTTACACTCCCATCAGCAGTGTGAAAATGTTCCCATTTCTCCACATCCTCTCCAGCATCTGTTGTCTCCAGATTTTTTAATGATCGCCATTCTAACTGGCGTGAAATGGTATCTCAGCGTGATTTTGATTTGCATTTCTCTAATGACCAGTGATGATGAGCATTTTTTCATATGTTTGTTGGCCTTGTGTATGTCTTCTTTTGTAAAGTGACTGTTTATATCCTTCGCCCACTTTTGAATGGGCTTGTTTGTTTTTTTCTTGTAAATTGGTTTTAGTTCTTTGCAGATTCTGGATATTAGCCCTTTGACAGATGGGTAGATTGCAAAAAAATTTTTCTCATTCTGTTGGTTGCTGATTCACTCTAATGACTGTTTCTTTTGCTGTGCAGAAGCTGTGAAGTTTGATTAGGTCCCATTTGTCTGTTTTGGCTTTTCTTGCCAATGCTTTTGGTGTTTTGGTTGTGAAGTCCTTGCCTATGCCCATGTCCTGAATGGTTTTGCCTAGGTTTTCTTCTAGGGTTTTTGTGGTGTTAGGTCTTATGTTTAAATCTTTAATCCATCTGGAATTAATTTTAGTGTAAGGTGTCAGGAAGGGGTCCAGTTTCTGCTTTCTGCACATGGCTAGCCAGTTTTCCCAACACCATTTATTAAACAGGGAATTCTTTCCCCATTGCTTGTTTTTGTCAGATTTGTCAAAGGTCAGATGGTTGTAGAAGTGTAGTGTTGCACCTGAGGCCTCTGTTCTGTTCCATTGGTTTTGGTATCGGTACCATGCTGTTTGGATTACCGTAGCCTTGTAGTATAGTTTGAAATCTAGTAGTGTGATGCCTAGTGATAAATTTCTTTAAGGAAAATCTTTTCTGGCTGACAATCTTGTATGTAATCTGATGTTTTTCTTAAGATGCTTTTAACTTTTTTTTTTTTTTCAATGTAATCTTGCTCTGACTGAGAGCTTTTTTTCTTTTTAAAGCTTTGGGTGTCTTTCAGAAGTTCTTTTAGTATCTCATGGCATCTGTTAATGAGGTGCATGGTCACAGTGAGAGGTATTGGCTCTGTCTCTATCTAGACTCATGCTAGAAATCCAGCAGTATTTTTTGTATGACAGCATTATAAACAGAAACTGTTGCTGAAACACTGCTCCTATTCTCACTATTTGGAAGCTACAGTTCTACCCAGGAGGATTGCAGGCTCTCCTCCTACAGCTCAGGCTTCAGTCTCTAATGTGGCACTGGAGTGCTGCTTTGGCAATTGAGGTTTACATAAGATGTGAAATGTCAGCTGTAAGCTGTGTGCTGTGAGCTGTGCCTCTGTGTTGGATGGTAGGAGTCAAGAGAGGACACTAGCCACCAGGAGTGGGCAAGCAGGAGGGGCTATAGCCTCTAGTGCTCAGGGAGTAGAGAGCCATTGCTTTAAAATGTAAAAAGCCAGAAAGGTAGCACCCTATTCAACCATTTATTTTGGAGAGTCAGTGTCTACCTTCAGCAGGCACCTGGCTTCAAGGTACAAAATTGCCTTCTGTCATGAAGCTGTGAAAAGTTCATTTTGTTACTGAATATAACCAATTAGCATACATGGATGGCCACCCTAGTTATCAGGTGAATTTAGAATGAACAATGTGTGATCTGCTATAAATTCTTCTACTTCTGTAATAATTATGGTGACCATTTTTCTGTCTGTGCAATTTTTTAAGCAGATTGACTTTGATATATGTAACATTCTTGTTTAATTGCATAATAAAACATTTTTTTTCTCTTTCTATTATTGTGGAGTTTCTCTGGGGCTGGAGAAAAATTTTCTTTTAATTTTACTTTCCCAATACTGTCTAGAATAATCAGAAATGATATAAACACATAAGGTGCCAACCAAGCTTAACTGTAGCAAGGATTTTCCCCTCTGCCTTCCAGTAAACTCATAATTGTGTTGCAGAGTGCATGCTGTCCCCTGAATACGCAGGTAGAATTGTGTCTCTGCGTATTTGCTATCTGTAGTCTCCTTCAGTCACTTCTAGAGAGGCTAGATCAGATTTTTACAAACTTCACAGGGCAGCAATCAGTCATTTTACCTCTTTCGGTGACTTGTTCGTTTCAGAGCTGAAACTGATTCCCAGACCATGAGGCTGACCCAGAAACCCTGTCAGAGTAATGACATGTAGTCATGAGAATCTCCAGTTTTCCCTTCCTCCTCTTGCTAAAAGGCCCAAAAATTTCCTCTTACTATAATGACCAAAGATGCAGGTAATATCTTGCTATTCCAGCAATCCAGTACCTAAAACTGCAGATCCAAATTCTGAATCTTGAGATTTGGGGGAAAAAAACCTTTTATTTGAGAAATACAAATTCTTTCAGTTGTCGAACTCAGATACATTAAAATGAGAGCAAAATTTTGTCATTGTTTTCACCTTTGAACTATATTTATCTCTTAAAGTTGTTTGCTGTTGCCATTAGTAGCTACAAATAAAACTACTAATATCACACTGGGTACCATAACCAAAACCCTAAATCTTGACTATTTATATACAATCAATAATTAATGTTATTTCTGTAAATAAATAAGAATTTTTGTATCAGCCCATTCTCTGTCCTTTTTTTAACCCTTACAAATTCACTGGTAACTACTGCTAATTAAAGTATAGATTCCAGGCAACTTAAATCTTTGCTGCCAAGTTACAGTTCTCAAATTTGGCTCAAATACACTGTCTACTCATATTCACATTGACTTGGCTTTTTCTTTTTAGGTGGACATATCACTTAGAATGTACTAGAGCAGCTGTAAGAGGGGCTTTCTCATTTGATTGTACTCCACTTGCTGTAACACCCAAGAATGCAGAGCCTGGTTGATCCCACCTCGAATCTGCACGTAAGTTCTGACCTCTGCCTGGTATTACAAAACAGGGCCAGACGTAGAATAAAAAATGTACTGAAAACCAACAAGAGGCCTTTTCTGCATTGTGAGATGTCAACAATGAATGTTTAAAGTTTCTTTTTGAGAATGTGGCTCTTTGAGCTTTTCATCTCTTACCCAGTGACCTGCTATATTTATGTGAGAGGCTCCAGGTGTAAACAGAATCAGATGGCAAAATCTGCATGTGTAAAAAAGCATCTTCAGAGTGAGAGTTCAAGACCACAGTGTATCCAGAGCATAATCACAACTACACCTACCTGTAAAATGTGGTTCTATAGTACGGTATTATTCTGCTTCCTCTTACTCAAGAGCTAGCTAGTCAGGAGAAGATAATCCAGGTTCTGGAGCTACACCAGGGCAGTTCCATTTTCTGTTTAGAATAAGCCTGAGTTTACCCTGCCTGGCTCCATTGGGCCATCAGCCCATGCTTACTGGAAGCCCTCTCACAGTCAGTTTGGTGTCATTGAGAAATCTGAGGATATCCAGAGCAGAACTGTGTCAGTCAGACAAGAGTGGTTAATCCTTCTAAGTCTCACTATGAGAGAAATGAGTCAGCCTGTGTTTGTTCCTGCCCTCATACAAAAGATGTCTTTGGTATCCAGATGAAAGTTTCTCCAGTTTCCTGGAACTTGGTTGAAAAACAAGACCTGGAGATTCAAACAAATAAAGTATGTTTTAAATTATTTTTTATGGCCATTCAGAAAATATTTGAAACGGTTACATTTTTTACCATCCAGGAAATTTTATTCTAGACTAGCAACTAGATACATTGTTGAATGAAAAATCATATAGTTGGGGCTGAGTGCAGTGGCTCACACCTGTAATCCCAGCACTTTGGGACACTGAAGCAGGTGGATCACATGGTCAGGAGTTCAAGACCAGCCTGGCCAAGATGGTGAAACCCTGTATCTACTAAAATACAAAAATTAGCCAGGCGTGGTAGTAGGTGCCTAAAATTCCAGCTACTCAGGAGGCTGAGACAGGGAATTTCTTGAATGTGGGAGAGAGAGTTTTCAGTGAGCCGAGACCATGCCACTGTACTCCAGCTTGGGTGATAGAGTGAGACTCCATCTCAAAAAAGAAAAAAGAAAGAATTATAAGATTGGTGCAATAAATAGACATATGCAAGAAATCTTAGGGTTTACTTGGGCCACTTTATATTATTGTGACTTCTGATGTCATCATCTTAAGAGATATTTAGGGCCAGAATAGTTGTTTTTACTATTTTTATTTTACCTTGCTAAGAATACATATTTATCTTCTAAGAAAATTATCCTAGAAAATCTTAAAAGATTTGTTTTAATTGCCTATTAGTGTATGTTATAAAATTGAAGACACAGTGGCTAAAAAAGATAAAAATTACACAAACTCTGGCATTTAAGTTAAGTAAATGGCATTAAGTAAACATAGGAAAAACAGAACTGGAAATTCCTCTTAGAGGCATAGAGAGTAGAATTGTACATTTCTACTCTCCCGGACTCAGTTCTGCTCAGAATCACCTTATTTGGGGGCTTCATTTAGGTTTGGCTCCACCCTAGAGTCTTGCCTCAGAACTGAGAAAAGAACTCTGAGAACTCTCAGAACTCTCAGAACTCTGAGAAAATCAGAGTTTGGGTGGTGAATCCTGGCATCTTATTTTCTTTTTTCTTTTTTGACAGAGCCTTGCTCTGTAGCCCAGGCTGGAGTGCAGTGCTGTGATCTTAGCTCACTGCAACCTCTACCTCTGGGATTCTAAGCAATTCTTCTGCCTCGGCCTCCTTAGCACCCTTCGCACACCACCACACCCAGCGAATTTTTGTATTTTTAATAGAGATGGGGCTTCACTGCATTGGCCAGGCTGGTCTCAAATTTCTGACCTCGTAATCTGCCTGCCTCAGCCTCCCAAAGTGCCTGAATTGCAGGCGTGGGTCACTGTGCCTTGATGAATCCTGCTACCTTTCTAGAGCTGTTGCACACAATTTCCTGAAACCCAAAAGGAGGTAAATGAAAAACATCAAATATGTATTTCAAGGTCTTAATTTTTAAATTTTCTATTAACACCAGCACTTGCAGAGACTCTCCATTTAGCAACTTGTTTTCTATCCCTTCATATCCAGTAGTTGTTAAATGATTAACAAGAAAGTAAACATAAATACAATAATAATTTCTCTAAACTGCATTAACCTCTTTCTTTTTCTGTATCCCTCTCATCTGTCTATATTTAGTTTTTATTCTATACATTCTTTTTAACAACCAATTACAGAGAAACAGAAAAGTAAATAAAAATGCTGGGCTTTTTATTTAAAAAATGGGAATTATTAGACACAGTACTAATCCCAGGGTGTTATGAAGATTAAATCTCATAATATGTTATTCCAAGCATAGTTCTCTGTAACATACTCTTGATCACATTGTACTTGCTTTATAAACATTGCATTAATAACTGTGTACATGTTGTTTTCCAAATGCAGACTTATTCAGTCATTACTTCCTTCTAAAGATCCAGCAAATAATATGATATTGTAGGATGGAGACTTGTTGTCTTCATTTGTACCAGAATTATATGTGTTGTGACAAGAGTGCTGAGCGTAAGGGATTCTGTGCTGTGCCTGTTTTCTCTAACTAATACTAATGATGAGGCCAGGGGGAGCAGCATCAGCATTGACAGTTACCAAGAGATTTATAAGGTCATTCAAACTTGAGAGGTAATTCTTAGCTAAGTGGTTATCAGCCCAGGCTTCTAATTAGAATTACATGGCCAATTTGCAGAAATCTCTTTCCTTGTGTTTATGGGCCAGAGAAACTGGGAAAAACAGGTTCTTTCATTTACTGGATGTTTGACAAAATATTCTTATCAGGCCAAAAACAGTTACATTACTGGTGAATTTGTTAGAAATTCAGAAACTCAGTCCCTATTTCAGATCTTTTGAAAAAAATAATCTGCCAGAAAAGATCTCCAGTTCATCGTACACATTGAAATTTGAGAGGTATCTTCTAACTCAACATGTCTTTTTCATCTGAAAAATGTACACAGCTCATTTGGTTTGATGCAAATACAGCACTTAAAAATGTACATTTGTACACACTGCCATGTGTGTACCTATGCAACAATCTTGAATGTCTTCACAGGTACCCCCAAACCTAAAATGCAATTAAAAAAAATAAAATAAATAAAATAATGTACATTTGTGTTTTTGCCTTGAATTTTATACTTTGTAATCCAAAAAACTATTATATATTCACCGATGTTGTGGGTTATGCTAGTCTCTTTACACAGAGTTAGAGAATACATTAGAATATATTTCTGTGTTGAGAATTATTTTATAGATTTCATCTGCTCCCATAAGTTAGAAGCACTTCTTTTTACTCTTATTTTATCTTGAGTCAAATTAAAAATTCTGCTCATGGCTGCTTGATAAATATGTGTGTGTGTATGTGTGTGTGTGTGTGTGTTTATCAGGGACCATTGACATTTATGGATGTAACCATAGAATTCTCTCTGGAAGAGTGGCAATGCCTGAACACCGCACAACAGAATTTATACAGAGATGTGATGCTAGAGAACTACAGAAACCTCGTCTTCCTTGGTGAGAATAACTTCAATACACAATTCATAATATACCCTAAAGGTTTTTATTTTATTTTATTTGTGAAATGTTTTTGGTTAATTTTGCTTTGTATAGATAAGTTTAAGATACCTGTTTTGAAAAAAAGTTTGGATACTTGTGTAGAGAGGAATATCTTCAAGATGTTTCATGTTGATCTGAATTATCCACATTCCTAAGCTGATCTGTATTTTTCACTCTAGATTATTGGTAATGACAGAAAGTTGGTGGCTTAAAATACTGTTTTCTACACCTAAAAATCTAATTGCCACCCACACAGTTTTTTTTTAAATTTATTGTTGTTTGTTTTGTTTTTGAGATGAATCTTGCTGTGTTCTCATGCTGGAGTACAGTAGTGCAAGCTTGGCTCACTGCAGCCTCCACCTCCTGGGTTCACAGAATTCTGCCTCAGCCTCCTGAGTAGCTGGAATTACAGGCACACACCACAACCTCCTGCTACTTTTATTTGTATTTTTAGCAGAGATGGGGTTCCACCATTTTGTCTAGGCTGGTCTCTAACTCTGGACCACAGGTGATCTGCCTGCCTCTGTCTTACATACTGCTGGGATTACAGGCATGAGCCACTGTGCCTGGCCTTCCACCACCAGTTTTTGATTCAGTAGTACTAGGGGGTTAAATTAGAAACATACAAATTTAGGCTGGGCACAGTGGCTCATGCCTGTAATCCTTGCACTTTTGGAGGCCAAGGTGAGCAGATTTACCTGGGTTCGGAAGTTTGATACCAGCCTGACCAACATGGAGAAACCGTGTCTCTACTAAAAATACAAAATATTATGTGTGGGTGCTGGTGCATGCATATAATCCCAGTTACTTGGGAGGCTGAGGCAGGAGAATTGCTTGAACCCACGTGGTGGAGGTTGTAGTTAACCAAGATTGTGTCATTACACTTCATCCTAGGCAACAAGGGCAAAACTTCGTCTCAAAAAAAAAAAAAAAAGAATAAATAAATAAAAAAACTTACTTCATGAATGTGTATGGAAGGGTTAAAAAAAGGAAAAAAAAAAAAAAAAAAAAAAATATATATATATATATATAAATTTAAAATATTTTCTAAATATTAAAATTCTGTTGTAAATTATTATTTTGGGATTAATGAGGCTATTCTGTCATTCTTACAGAGCAAATTACTAACGAGAACTGGAGAATATGAACAACATTCACGTTTCTTTATTTTTAATAAAACAGGTATTGCTTTGTCTAAGCCAGCCCTGATCACCTATCTGGAGCAAGGAAAAGAGCCTTGGAATATGAAGAGACATGAGACTGTAGCCAAGCCACCAGGTATGTGAAAATCAATGCAACTAATAAGAGGCCCAAAAGTCAAAGAGAAAGCCAGTCTTTAAAATGTGATTTGGGAAGCTGTGTTCCAAAGGAAATAGTTTCTGGGATGCCTGAGGAGTTTGTATTTTGCTCTCACACAGAGGTACCTTCTGTCTTATGTTTTTAAATTTTCTAAAGGTTCTTCTTTTTCTTTGGTGATCTTCTTTCAAGTTTACAATGAGAGCCCAAAGTCCTCTTCGTGAATTGTAAGAGACTGCACAATCTGACTGCTTTTCCATTGTTATGGGGAACACAAAAATATCTGCATAATTTTGAGAAACCTCTATGATAAACTCTTGTTTTAAGTTCTCTTTAGCATCATGCCTGAAATGTGTGAGTGGTGGTTTATGTCCCATCTTTGTTGTTGTTCATTTTTCTACACAGTCCATCCACTTTTTATTACTGTAGACTTGAAGTACAGTTGAAAATTGTAAAGTATGATGTCCTTCTGCTTTATTCATTTTCCTCAAGAGTGCTTTGGCTATTCAGAGTTTATTGTAGTGTCACATAAATTTTATAATTGTATTTTTCATTACTTTGAGAAAAATACCACTGAAATTTTGAAAGGGAGTTTATTGAATCTATAGACTACTTTGGATAATATGGCACTTTAAAAATATTTATTCTTTCAATCCATAGACATAAAAAATTTAAATTTATTTTTGTCTTTAATTTTTTTATTGATATCTTATGTTTTTCATTGTAAATATTTTTTACATCTGGTTAATTTTTTTCTTAGAAATTTATTGTTTTATAATAGAAAAACAATGCTATTCCAAATAGATTGTTTTTCTATTATATCAGAGAGTTTGTTTTAAGTATGTGGAACCATAACTTATACTTGTAATTTAATTATATTTTTCTAATTTAATGAGTGTGTTTATTAGTTTAGACAGGTTTTAATGTACTGTTTATAGTCTTTTTTATATATTAGATTATATAATCTAGAAACAGCAACTTTTCACTTGTCTTCAATTTCAATGTCTTTAAAAACTTTTTGTCTATCTCTTCTGACACATACTTTCAGTGCTATGCTAAAATAGAAGCATTGACAATGGATACAGTATAGCTTTGCATTGGAGTCTGTGAATTTGAAGGAGCAAATGCCTCTTCAAGTTTTTGTAAAATGGTTTTAGAAGGTAAAGATTTTCTTTTGTTAGGCGCCCAGGGTGATGGGATGCTCTCTGGGTTTGTAGTGGAGAAGGTTTGTAGTTTGGTTTGTTACAAGACTTCTGAGTCTACACTAGGGTTCACCTTTAGTTGGCTTGTTGCAAAGAACTTGGGTAGTTGTTAATTCCATTTTATTTTTAGACAGACTGAATATCCTTTAGGACTTTGATTTGTAGAAAAGACACTAAGGGAGGTGTCCGCAGTTGGGTCTGCATATGGTGGACCTTATATCAGTGTGCGGATGAGTATGGCTTTCACTGAATACCAGAGAAGTTTTTTTTTGTTGTTGGAGACAGAGCCTCACTCTGTCAGCCATGCTGGAGTGCAGTGGCACAATATTGGCTCACTGCAACCTCTGCCTCCCAGGTTTAAGCAGTTCTCAATCTCAGTCTCCTAGTAGCTGGGAATACAGGTGCCTGCAACCACACTTGGCTAACATTTGTATTTTTAGTATAACCAGGGTTTCACCATCTTTGCCATGCTGGTCTTTAATTCCTCACCTCGTGATCCACCCTCCTTGGTCTCCCAAAGTGCTGATATATTACAGGCATGAACCACCATGCCCAGCCCCAAAGAGAATTTTTCTAAGTCACTGTATGGGTTTCTATGTAGGCATAACTGGCCATGAACTGTGTGGTCCAGGAAGCTGAAACTGAGTCATCAGACTGCTTCTGGAATCACAGTAAAGGCCAAGGTCTGCAGACCTGCCTGCATGGCTATTAATTTGTATCTTTCTCCAGGCCTCTGGGGGAGAAGGGCCTCTCCCAGATGGTTGCTGGGAGGAGTTTGGGATGGTTACAGAGTAAGTTCACCATTCTCAGTGAGACCAAGTTGGGTGGACCATTTCCTGGTTCTTTAGCCAAGAGCAGAGGTCTTGCAGTTACCTACATTAAAGAGGGCCTGCCTTCTGAAAAGAACACTCCTCAATTTTGGGTTTTAGCAGAGTTTCACAACTTCCTTCCTGGATCTCAAAGCTCTGTTAAAGGCACTTAGTTTTGATATGGGGTCTTGCCACATAAACCAGCCTGGTCCTGAAATCCTTTCCTGCAACAATTCTCCAACCTCAGTGTACCATGTACCTGTCATTATAGGTGTGAGCCATAGTGTCTAACTCTATTATATAGGCATTTTGTCTGAAATGACTGACACATTTTCTTGCTCTGGGGGAATGAGAAAATAAAGCATCTTTTTCCGTCTTACTGATGTTACTATCCCTATACATTTCTACTTTCTTTTTCCTATTTCAAATTTGTCTGCAACATTAGATTCAGACATTTAGGACAATATGTTAGAATATACATGCTATGTGTGTGTTACAGAATCTTTGAGGTGTCAGTTTTTTTCCTGGAAACCTCTGTGATCAGTGGCACCATTGCCTAAGTTCTTATTCTGCATCCTGGAAGAATAAGATATGCAGACAAGTGAAGGATGAAGAAAAGAAGGAGGATCTTTATTTAGTGTTAGAAGAGTTCAGAGGAGACATACAGTGGGTAGCTCCTCTCTGTACGCAGGTCATCCCATCAAGTATTTAGCTCTCAGCAGAGAGAAGGCCCTGAAGAGAGTTACTTCACTCTGCAGGCAGGTCATTCTGAGGTCTCTGCAGGTCTCTGAAGCTGCCAGCAGAGAAGGTTGTTTGTCTCTGCAACTGATCATCACATTGTTTCTGTGTCCTCTGCCCTCCGTCTGAAGCCAGGGCTTTTCTGGACCTCAGAAGGAAGGAAGTGCATTACAATTGGTCCATGGGTGGCCATAGGCAGGCCAAAAAGAGGCACCAGAAGTCCCTGCTGTCGTCTGTGGGCCCCTAAAGGTGGCGCTCTACAAGGGACTCACTCTTTTCTGCTAAGGAATCTGTCTGCCTCCTGCTGCCATTTATGGCCCCCAGCTTGACTAAAACCCTGGTCTGAGATTGGAGTATACAGGTGCTGGGAGAGGAGAGAGGCCTTTAGCAGGAACAGACACCTCCAAGCCAGCAAAAATGGGAGAGGACCTTCCCAGGACTCCAAGTATGTAGGCACCAGAGATGCCCATGTTTTCCACCTGGGAGGATGGCTGCAGCTGCACCCACCAAGCTCCAACCCCACCAACTCAAAAGGGGCAGAGCTCCTGCTTGTCCTTGTGGAGCAGGATGTCCAGGTTTGTAGCAGTGAGTCAGACAGCTGCTGCTGCACCCGGGAGGGAAGATTCGAGTCTCCCTCAGTGAAAAACATGATTGACAAAAGAAATTTAGTCACCTTTGTGATTTACAATGACCTAACACAATAATTTTAATTATGATTGATAACACAGACTCAGACATCAGAACTTTAGAAATTCCATACAACTTTTGGAATACACATTAACATTTTTCACTAAATTGTTACCTGAAAATCAAATACTCCCTGACCAATAATCCTATGTCAAATAGTCCTGTTCACCTCTCCCTTGGATGCCCCAGGGGCCCTCTGTGGCATCCAAAACTATGGGTTAGAAAAGACAATTTTAAAGCTATAAAGGCTCAAGACTTACTAGAAATTTAGATTACCACAAGTCATCTGTTTAAAAGACATAAAGTTGGGGTTTTTTGTTTAAGCACAAAGTCGTCAAGAGGGAAAGTCTAGTTTTTGAAACAATCTGTTTCTTTTCTTCATCTTTGTTTTTAGATCGTTTATTCATAAGTCAAAAGAAAAATCCTTTTTCAAGGGAAAGAAAGCCAAATTTCACACTTGCATTAGTCTATTATTGTCAACCCCAACTTTTTAAATAAAACCTTATAATTTTATCCAATCTTAACCAAATTGACCATGAGGTGTGATTCTTATTAAACTTTTATAACCCTTTACAAATTTGTGTTAAAGAGTAGATCAGTGCCTTAAGACACCCTTGTTCTTTTATTCCAGTGTTCAATTTATGGAAAAACTAAATAATACTTCTTTGAATTCAGTCAATATGTTCACACATAGATTCTGTTTAAAATTTTTACTGACTTTCCATAACTTGTTTAAACTTTTATTTGTAACTTACTTAAAAACAATCCTTTAATCCTCTAAACTAGGCAAAAATTTGCATATTCACACCTTCTTACTTTCTTTTACTGAAGACATATTTCACTTTCCTTACATACCTTGCATGAAAATCTGTTTTCTCTAGTCTCAATTACATGTTATAATGGCAACTGTTAGCAATCCTTAGTTTTGGTGAAATGCCTGGCAAGTTATTTTAGTTTTATGGACTTAGGTACAGGTCAGGTTTTACTGTTTCTGGCACAGCTAGAGAGATGGCATATATTTCCTGCTCTTACCAACATGTAAAGCAGAAAAGTCAAAAAGTTTTCAAAAGCCAAAGAAGCAGTTAGTGACCTTAAGACATTTAACCAACCTAGTTTCTGAGTTGCATAATTTGAATTGTACGTCTACATTTTGAAGACAGTTCTATTTTTAATTTAGCAATAATTTTAAAGCTAGCTTATTTACTTATGTTATGCCAAAGTCATATGTATTTAAAAATTGCTGGCTGGGTATGTTGGCTAATGCCTGTAATCTCAGCATTTTGGGAGGCCAAGGTGGGCAGCACACCTGAGATCAGAATTTTGAGATTAGACTGACTAAAATTGTAAAACCCCAAATGTACTAAAAATACAAAATTAGCTGGATGTGGCAGTGTACCTGTAATCCCAGCTACTCAGGAGGTTGAAGCAGGAGAATTGCTTGAACCTGGAAGGTGGAGGTTGCAGTGAACCAGAATAATGCCACTGCATTCAGGCCTGGGCAGCAGAGTGAGACTCGGTCTTCAAGAAAAGAAAAGAAAGAAAGAAA